GCTTGCCATAAATTTCATTTTGAACTGTTATGATTTGAAACACAGCACAGATAAGTTGATTCTCACCTTATGCTTAACTCTTCTAAATGAGTGTTCAAATCCACCAAGAATGCTGTATCTATGAGCCATTTTTCATCTTCAATTTCTGGCACAAAGTTTCCTTTTGGTTCCATAAATGAATTGATTTCATTTTGCAAATCATGAAATCTTTCTAGCATTTTATCCTGACTTAGCCACCTTCCTTAAGAAAAGTAAATGATGTCTCCATAATCAGCATCCATTCTTTTAAGGAACTCCTGGAACTGGCAATGATTCAATCCCGTGGACTTTATGAAATTCATAGCTTTGATGACAATTGGCTTGATGTTACCATTTTTAAAGCTTTTGCACATAAATTTTCTTGATGTCTGATGCAGTGATATTTCATCAAAATGAGTTGCCAGTGGTAATTGTGTCATCTTCTATTAATTTCATAAGTTACTCTTTTTTACCAATCATTGTCGGGGCAGCATCAATAGCTGTACCAGATGAGTTGTTGACAAGAGCTAACAAAAATTGCTTTAACGTAACTTTTGCTGCTTCATACACATCATGATATTTAGTTGTGTCTTCTAACAGCACCGAAGAAGCTATTTCTTCAGTGATTCATTATCAATACCTCTGATGAAAATGAAAACTTGAGCCGTATCTGTGGCATCAGTACTTTCATCTATTGCTAAGTCATAAAAATTGAAATTGGCACTCTCCAGATTTCCTTTGACAGAAGTTCCTACTTCTTCTGTGCACCTGGCTACAGTCTGGTGAGACTGATTTTAGAAAAATCTGGTTTTTATCAGGACACATTACATCTATCACACTTTCCAAATATTGCTTAATAAACTCATCATCAGTAAATGGTTTTTATTTTATTTTATTTTTTGCAATCAGATTTGCTACCACATAACTAGCATTTACAACTGAGTCTATTTGTGTTAACTTTTTAAAAAAGATTATGTGGAGATGACAGACTTTAGTTCCACTGTTTTGTCTTTACAAAGCATTCCTTGATACGCATCGAATTTGGCAGCGTGTTTTTGCAGATAATGTCCTTGCAAATTGTAGTCTTTGAAAGCTGACACAGTCTCCTTACAAATTAAGCATAGTGCCATATTATTTGTCTCGACACTGCACTGTTCTCAACAAGCAGCACAAGCATGTGCCAGGTGTAACACACGTGGAGTTTGATGCAACTCAGTGTCCGTGATGGGTACAAGAAACAGTCAGCACTGCACTGCACCCTCCCCTTCCTCTGGTTCCAGTAACAGTGCCAGTCGCACACCAGTGCTTTGATTGTTGCCGAGTGATGGGTGCACACCAGGACACAGCTGCCACCATGACGGGGCAGGGCAGAGGGTGGCCGCACTGCGAGATGTGCGGCCTGTGGGCCGTGGCTTCGGCATGCCTGACTTATTCTTCTGTTCATGGCCTGAACTGCCCCAGGTGCATCATCCAGCACAGCACAGAGCCTATTGCATCCAAGCATTTTGTCTTAGGGTCTACAGCTACTCAGTCCTTCAGCCTCTTTTGAAAGGAGATCCTTTTGTGAGACTACCTCAGAGTAGGTCTGGCATATGCCAACAGACACAGAGTGCTTAGAGTGTAGCTCGGAGCATCACTCTCGTTTGAAAGAGGAGAAAGAGGAGGAAAAACAGCTCACTGATAGCACTGTCCTCTGCAAGGCGGAAGACTCAGCCTTGTCCATTGATGGGTAGCATTTAAATCTGAGTTTTACAGCTGTTTCTCTGCTCAAACTAAAGCATACAGGAACTTTAAGATCTTGCTGAGAAATTAACCCTAGCTCTTAGGGTTTTTAATGGAGGGAAGAGTCATGGGTTGCAGTTCTTACTCCCAGAGCTCTTTATACATTTTAACCAGGGACTCATTAGTGCAAAATGGCAGGCTTAAGATGCTGAGAGGCTCGCCTTAGGTTCTAAATGAGCTGCCTTTTGGTGAGCTGAAATCCTGGTGTGGATTCGACAGCTGAGCAGCAGTAGCACCCAACCTGTCAGGACCAGCTTCTCTGTCAGATTTGGCATCAGCCCCAAATGTCTGAACTGCTGTTACCGTTCGACTCTGCAGATGCCAGCTGGGTCACTCAGGCTTTAATGCAGTCCTCACATCAACTACAGCTCTGGGAGGCATGTGTGACTGTCACAAGGTGCCACGCAGTGGAAGCTGCGCGTACATGCAGCCTGCACAGGGGCTTCTGCCTGAAGTGGGGACTGGTCTCAGGAAGCAAGCAGGAGCTTATCCCCTTCAAAAGACAGAAACCCACCTGTTTGTCAGGCAAGAAAAAAAAAAACCTCTAAAATTCCAAACTCCAAGAACCTTTAACAAAGGTGAGAGTTCTGGTTGGGGAAACAATGGACAGTAACAGAGTTCTGTGAGTTCACTGCTCCAGTGTTTGGTTTTCAGTTGAGAACTGCCTTGAAGAGCCTCAGTAAGCACATTTTCTGTGGACTCATATCCAGTTGGAAAACATACATTTCCTTTTGCTTTTGTTGTTTTATTTAAGCTCAGTTGGCTTAATCCCATTGCAGTCGGGTTTATTTGATGTTTCTCCATTAGCTAAGTACTGCTGGGTGCTGTAGCACAGTACGTTTTATGGCAAGGAGTTGAAAACAGAGGAGCAGGTTGTAGTGTTAGTGGCATTTCCTGCAGTTGCTTTTTTGCTCCCGTTGAGCAGTGTGTTTTGCTGAGCAACTGTAGGCTTCTCTAACAAGAGAGAAGCACAACTGAGGAAAGGGAAACCACTTTGACTTCATCAATATCCTTCAGCTCCCCAGCCTGCCCTTTTCTGCTTGATGGCTTGCTGTCCACACATCTCTCTGTCCTCAGAGAGGCTTCTCCTAGCCTCACAGATTCATTCTTGGTGAAGAAGCTCCCATAAACAAATGGCAAACATCTCAGCATCGCTTCCACGTTGGGAAGGGCTATTTCAGTTGCTATGGGATCTGCTTAGAAAAGAAAACCATATCTTAAAATCACATTTCCATTCCAGGCAGTCTAACCTTGTGCTGTTCCTTTGTTTTTTAGCTTCTGGTAATTTTCTGAAGAAATCAGAATCATGCTCAGTTTTTGTTTTCCTACTGATATTTGGGGGCATGTTGTTAGTAAGACTTATGGCTTCTTGAGAACTAAATTCACATGAGTGCATATGTCCCAAGGAGCCTGAACTGAGTCACTTTCTACGCAGGCAGTATGTTGCTTAAGTTCTTGGGGAAGAAAAATAGAAATGCTACTAAATCTAGAAGCAATTCTGCATTTGTTGGCTTTGTCTCAGGATCAGTGTTTCAGTGTAAGATATTGAATACAGTTTTAAAAAATAAGGAATATTCTTGTGAAAGCAAGAGATGTCTGGTGAGAAAATTGAATACATCAGCCAATTTTCTATGAATGAGTCTTAAATGCAGGTAGAAGGAGCTAGTTTTTATTGATTCAAGCAGTAGTTCTAGCAATGGAAACCAAGGATCTGGATGGGAGAACTGCTACTGAAGGAATTAGTCACAGGTTAAAAATATTGGAAATACAGATTCATATGTTTGTATCTAAGGTTAAGTAGAATGCAGCACTGTTAAGAATTGAAGTGGAAGTTACATTTGAGTTATAATTTACAGGATATTTGGTAAAGAATGGAAATCTATGCTTGCAAGTAATCTTAGCAGCTAAATGATTCTGCTCATTCTCTGATACCTAACAATAATGTCTTTGGTTTCACACATGGATTTTTAAACCATGTATGTCAAAATAAAGTGAGTTCCATAGTGGAATTAGCATGGTCATGGGTTGACTGCCTGCTCCACACCTTGTTGGGAATTCCATGCTGTTGGAGTTAGCTAATTTAGTTGTACTCAAGGGGACTGCTGGACTGATGCAGAGATTGTTCTGGCCAGATCACAGTATGCATCAAGGACCATATGGTCATCAGTCCTTAGAACTACAAAGCAGGCTGGCCTGTCCTCCAGCAACTGCTCTAGTGCTGCTCCCTAACAGATCTCTTAGAATCTCTAAGCAAGCTCTGCATTTCCGTTGTCAATAATAGACATCTCACCAGATAAGCTCTTTAGTGGACTAGAAACAAACACCTTTTGCAGTAATTAGTATTAAATTAAGTGTAGTTTTAGATAGGAAGAGAGTGGCAGAAAGAGCAAAGTAATGTAGCATTGGCAGAAGGAGCAGCATGGGAACCTTGGAACCATTAATCTACATAAAGTGGGATTAGTGGGGTGGAATTTCCTCCCAGTCTGTCCTGTAAACTGTACTGGAAGGAGAATTCAGGTATTATGACCATTGTACCTGCCACAGACTTTAGGCTCTGGAATGCTGTTGTGGGACTGGCTGCACTGGCAGTATATTTACCACAGACAGCTCCTTCAGGCTGATTAGCTCCTGGTGCCTCTTCTGTGTCTGCTAAGAGAAAACAATTGTGAGAGTTATGTTTGTTCCTCTTTTCCCCACTTTCAGGAAATACCACACAGAGAAATTAAAGGGTAATTTGACAATAGGAAAAAGAGTAGATACCATGGCTTGACTGACTTGGTGCGTCAGCATGAGGATGAAAAGTGAGCAGAAAGAACAACTTCTTAGATGTCTGCAATCTGCCTCATTGGGCTCAGCTTCTTGACTCCTCAAAGTCTGCCCAGTAACGGCCTAAATCTTTTTGCAAAATTTTTGAGCCGAAGATGTTGAGGGCCATGAGCTGTTTTCCCCAGTCACCGCTCTGATGCTGATAAGGGCTATGGCTGGCAGAGCTCTGTGTGCATGTTGAGAAGTCACTGTGTGCAGTCATTTGCATTTAGAGCTGTTTTTAGCTGTAGAAGATGCTCCCTGCATTCAAACAGCTCTCATCAGAGCAACGGGGAATTCACCCTGCTGAGATGATGGTGAAGATGGAAATAACATTGCCACTACAGATGCCTTTTGGTACTATTAACTGTGTTCTTTTCTTGTTTGCTCCACAGATCCTGTGTGGGAAGGAGATCCCCCGCTGGGTGAACCGCCTGGCCTACTTCAGCTCCTGCATCCCTTTCCTCCAGAGCTGCCTCCCCAAGGAGTGGCTGACCCCAGCAGCCCTGCAGAGCCACATCAGCCTTGGCTTGCACAAGGAGGAGCATGGGGACACAACAGACGAGGAGTCTCCCTCCACCTCTGCCACTCCCTCAGCCTCAGGCGCCTCACGAACCTGTAGACATACCAGGGTCTGAGCTGTGCCCACTATGGCCTCTAGTAACATTCTCCTCTTTGTTGTGCTGTTTCTTCCTCAGTCACCCTTTCGCACACCATGGTTTCTCCCCTCTTTTCTCTTTTTTCATCTGACAAAGCAGGGGAGGGAAGACCCCTACTACTGAGGAGGAGAAGCTTCAGGCCCTATTCAAAAGGCTGCTACTACAGTTACTTGGCAAAATGATTGTGAACTCCAACACTGAGCTGAGGAATGTGGCAACTCTGCTGGATTCTCCTCCCAGGATCCCCATGCTCCTTGATCCATGGAGAATGCTGCTCTCTCAGACATGAGAGCTCATGTAGGAGCAGGGAGCACCATACTGTGATGTCCCTCCACTAGGACAGTTTTGTCTTTTTATCTCTTCCCCCGCACACTTGATCCCAGCAGCCTCCTCTGTATTTTGGCTTGGATTGCCACATGGCGAATTTCCTGCTTGCACCCAGTGAGGCAGGCAGAGCCAGAACTCAACCTTCTCATCTCTTAGACCAGCAACAAGCTCCACTCAGCCACATCCCTTTTGTAATTATCAGGTTTCTAATTCATGTGAAGGAATTGAAAGGTGCTGATGTTCTTACAACTACCAGTTTTCATTATTCAAATTTAAGAGCTCGACTGACTGCCCTGCTCTTGAAAATAATAACAAAGAGAACCCAGAAAATGAATGTGTTACTATGGCTTTTCTTCGGGATTAAAAAAAAAAAAGCTACTGCTTAGAGGCAGCTACTAAGTAAGTGCAGAGATGACTGTTGTCCATGTTGGTGCTTTTTGGCACAAACCCCTCTCAGATCCCCTACTTCTAGGCAGTGTTCCTGGTTACCTTTCTTTTTCCCCAGGCTGGCAAACGTATCTCCTACCTGACATTTGCGGGCTGTTTTTGAGGGAAATGGCCCTCTGGAGCAGTAAGATAAGGGGAAGAAATCTACTGGGAAGATCAGTACTTCTTTCAGCTTTTTCTTCTGCACCCATAAACATAAAACATGTCTCCTGAGCCACCCTTCCCCAGACCATTGCAGAGCCAACCCAAGAAGGTAAAAAATAAGTGATGAACCTGTTTCCTCCTCCTCCCTTTCTGGAGGTGGAGGGGGAAACCTAGGGCCACATCAAGAAAGCATGGGTGACCCTTCCCATGCATGGGCCACCATGGTGCCTTCTGTTGTGTGCACTATATCACTGGCATGAAAAATTGGCAGAGCTGGCTTGTTGGTCTCTCCAGGCAGGTTCTTTATATGAATCTGGGTGTTTCTGTTCATTCTGATGGCTGACAAGAAAGCTGAGGAGGGAGAAAAGGAGAGGTATACCAACCCTTCTACTCAATTACCTCACCAAGGTTTCAGAAGATGCAGAAGAGCATCAAAGGGAAACCCAAGCCTCTCTCCCCCTTCTAGCTCCTCTTGACCACACAAAGGAGGATAAAAAAGAACAGGTCTGGTGATGACAGGAGGTTGCAACTTTAGAAACGCTGTTCTCAACAGCTGCTATCAAGTCAGGACTTTCCCCTCCATCCAGAAAGAACTGTAAGTCCTTCAGAGATGTTGTTTCCTTTTACTCTTGAAGGAAAACCAAGAGCATGCTAAATCCAACCAGCTGTTTCTTTAGCTCAGGTATATAGAAGTGCATGCTCTCAGTGCTGAAGGTCTTGGCTATGATGCACATCATGTCTGCACAGACAGTGCTTCATGTTTTGTTACATGTGCATACCTCCAGTGAAAAAGGAGAAAAATGTGTGTTTGGACAATGAGCATTTTACAACGCACCTTCCATTTTCATCTTCTGAACAAATTGCTGCAAGTTCTGTACTGAACTAAAGTTATACTCCTTATAAACCTTGGCTACTCACAGTCAGTACTGCATTGTGAGCAGTTCTACAGCTCCTGGTATCCAATCCAGCAACCTGGCTTGTTCCAGGATGTTTAATAAGATTTCCATCCTGTTTTCCATTCTGCTGCCCAGAAACATTACACAATGTACTGTTGTGTGCTCTTTTCACCTGCAGTCATGGTCACTGTAGCCTAAACCAGCAATGCAAGTTCCATTCGTCTGAAGTTCCCAGGGTGCCTGCCAATAGCCAGCAGCACAGTATGTGCAGGGAATTTTAAAATCACTTTGTAGGTCCTTCTCTGGAGGTGAGTAAGAAAAGGCTTTCCCAGAGCTTTTGCATAGACCAGGGATTCCTGATCTGACAAAAGCCAGCCAACCAGCACCCTCAGGTTACTATTCTGCACCTGAGCTCCAGATAAAACATCATTATACATTTAGGAGAGAACTACGGCTCCAGTGGCACATTTCACAAGTAAGACCCTCACAGTATTCCAAAAGATAAAATATCTAACTGGCTGTGTTGTAACAGACAAGAAAGCTGCACTCAGCCTTCTTGGGGATGTGGATAAGTGCTTGAAGTATTGGGAGTAACACTTGGGGTGAACTGTTGTTGTCATAAAAACTAGATGTTTATCTACTTTTATGTTTGTCAGTCTTTTATGTAGGGGTCATAACAAGGAGGCATGCAACCTCTGTTGTAAGTCAAAATGAGAATATATTCCACTCTTCAAAAAGGTTTCTCCTCACCCCTCTCTGTTCAAGGTGATTGAACAATGACAAGAACAAAGGGACACTGTGGAAATAAAATATATATTGATAATAGCTTTATCTCTGTAATTTAACAGCATTTTAGATTATTAAAAATGAAAACATTTTTAAAGTCTAATTTACTGCTTATCTCTGGCACAGCATGTTTGATTTAAGCAAATCTTATCCTTCTGAACATAAAATTATTGTTATTATCATGTAATTGTATAGCATTTGCATTCATATTTGCTTTCTCTTACTCTTCTGGATTGGAACATCATGGGAAAATTTCAGATACCAGTAGTTATCAGTGGAAACAAAAGAACAGCCTATAACTCTTGACCAGAGCACTCAGTGGCACCAACACAACCCTTTAACCCAAGACTTGTTGGGCCCTTTTAGAATTTGGAACATGAGGGTGCTGACTCTGCACGTGGGCATCAGCAGCTGTGGATTATTTCTCTAACAGAGAGCTAATAGCAACAGGTGAGAAAGTAACAACAAAGGTGAGGTTAGCATAATGCTGGTGTTACATGTCAAACTGTTTCTAAGGAAAGTTAAAGTGAGAGGAATGAGGTAAGCAATAACCTCTCTTCTCAGCACTTCTATGTCTGTAATGGCAGCTGTCGTGGTTTTGGGAGATTCATCCACCCTCAGTACAGCACAGAGATGGGCACAGGACTGTTCTCTTCTCTTAGCTCCCATATGAAAGTTGGCATTTCTGGAATTCAAGTATTTGACTGAATGGTAGAACTCATTCATTTGCTACCTGGAATAAATAATGAATGGTTCTAAATCTTGGAGGAGTTTATCTGTGCAGCCAGCTTTGTTTTGAAAGGATATACAAGTTTCTGGGCTGCAATGTGATTAGGATAAGGGATAACAATGTGGGAAAACTGACAGTGTTCTGGTGGCTGTCACTTCCTTAGGAAACAAAATGAAAGATGTAGCTAATGACCAGACTTTGGGGACTGCCTTAATCAATGAGCTTTGACAGAAAGGTCAAAATCATGAAGGAAACCCTCTGGAAGGATGTCTGTTCCTCTACAGAAGCTACTGGGGGCTACAGGTGTACCTTGCCAGCACTGAGCTGACTGTCTTTTGTTGTAAGTGAAGATTCAGCTGGCAACGCAGCAGTTATCCACCAAGTGAATATTAACAAAGCCTACATGCTGCCCTGGGGAGGGCAGATGCTGTGTGTTTCTTTGCAGCAGTGATCTCAGTGCTTTATCGCCCCTGAATGGCATTGATTCCTGCTGCTCTGGTCCTGCCCTGCTGGGGTGTCCCAGCTGTAGAAGCTCCTGATCCCTCAGTGCCTCTTGCTTTCTCTAAATGTCCCTGATCTCAGTTTAGACACAAAGGCTTTTCACAGAATCACAGAATGGCCTGGGTTGAAAAGTGCCACAATGATCATGTGGTTTCAACCCCCCTGCTACGTGCATGGTTGCCAACCAGCAGACCAGGCTGCCCAGAGCCACATCCAGCCTGGCCTTGAATGCCTGCAGGGATGGGGCATCCACAGCCTCCTTGGGCAACCTGTTCCACTGCGTAATAATTTCTTGCTTTCTCATTCCTGTGGCTTCAAAGCTCTCTCTCGTGAAGGCAAAGTCCCTGCTCCTTCCCCTGTATGCATTCAGAGAGCACTAACTGTATGTCAGGGCAGGTGTGGATCGCTGCAGTTTTGCGGACGGCACTTTGATCTCACCACGACGGCCACACCGCAGCAACTCTGCTTTGCTGGAATACGGAGCGAACCGCCACTCATGAGCGTGATGCCTTAATATAACGACGCAGTACATTTATACGACGCTAGGCAACAGCTGGCCCGCCCTACGAGCCGGCCTCAGCGGCGTGCCGGCCTCGCGGAGCGCAGCGGAACGCCGTGTGCGGGCTGCGCCGGCGGAGGGAGCGGTGTGGCGGGCGGTCCGGCGCCGGAAGCGGCAGCAGCGGGCGGACGGTGGAGCCTCATGGAGCGGCTCCGCAAGCTGTGGCGGGGCCGCACGATGACCTTCGGCGTGCCGCTGCTGGTGAGCGGGGCGGTCAGGGAGAGGGTTAAGGCACGGGAGGTGCGGCGGGGCGGGAAAAGGCGCTGTGCGGATACGTTATGGATGCCGTGGCCGCAGCTTTCCGGTAACGAACGAGTCCGATTCGGTGGGGAGGCGCAGCTGGGGGCGTGATGAGGCGTTGCGGGAAGCACGGCGCGTATGTGCTGCTTCTCTTGTGGGGTCGAAAAAGTGCCATAAAGCTTGCGAGCGACCAGTCTTCCAAAAGGACAAGGTGCCTTGGCGGGTCCTGCAAGGTGCACGCAGGTCATAACACTGTGGGGAAAAAGGGAAACGTCGTTCTGAGAGACAGAAAGATGCAGGGTGAAGAGATGGACTCCTCCGAGCCCTCAGCGGGACGAGTTTAGCAGCTCCTGTAAACTCGGGAAGGCCCGGCACGTAAAAGATGCAGCAGGCGTTGTGCTGCTGGGGTTACTGCAGGCACCCGGTCAGCTTGTCCTGAGAAGTTCTGCACGGCTGTTGATACGTTGTGGTTGGCGATGCTTTTGTGGCTTGTGAAAGAAGCGCTGAAGTCCACGCACGTCGGATCGGCTGCTGAGGGAGAAGGGACTCTTCCTTAGGATGGGAAGTTCGTGGTACTCTTTAGGAAGGGATTAAAGAAGCAGCTGCCAGCACGGCTGTGGGTCCCAGACCATGGCAGCCCTTCAGCACTTCTGATGCTTTTGCACGATTTCTCATCAGTCTATAGCAGAAGTTTTGGGGTGACTGTTTTTTTTTTTTGTTGTCTTTTTTTTTTTTTTAAATTAATTAATTTATTTTTGACTTTGCACTCCAGAATTTCATTCCCCTTTCTTTACTTCAGAGATCCTTCCTCCGGAGTCAGTGTTAAGCAGAGGAACTCTCTGCTTTCTTTCTTTCTGGGGTTTCACGTCTCCCCTGCCTTAAAATTATTGTCCCCTGTGAATGTCATCGTGCTGCTGCCCAAAGACTACCTAACGAGGAAGGAAAAGGACAATTCATGTGGCTCATGGCAGCTCCCCAGCTGAACATTGAACTCTGAAAGCACCTCAGGAGCTGAACACAGTTTTGCTAAAAGATCAACTGCAGCACCAGTGGCACTGAATGTGTGTCCAGAACTGCAAAAGTGTGCCTTTGTGACCTTCAAGTTCTGCTGAATTTGGTGATAATACTGACATACAAGGTCCTGTTAGAAGCTTGCGTGCTGTGCATTTTTTCACTAGACAGAAGTTTATTCTTCAATACTGCCGGACCTCATCAGCGCTATATTTTTTTATTGTAATTATTATTATTGAAATGAATCTCATGTCTTGCCTCCTTGCACTGCATATTTGAATAAAAAGCCTCTATAGCACTCTTTAAAAATACTCCAAGGTTAAAGAGATGGTAACTCAGTGGTAGATTAGGCTCTCGCTATGAGCATACATGCACAAATATGTATTAAAAATATTTCTTCCTTTTTAGTGTAAATTATCTTCTTGATCCTTTTATTTCCCCTGTGTTCATTTGGGAGTTGTTAGAATATTGTCGTCTGAAAGGGATTTTCTTGGCTGATCCTTAAAACCTTAAACTGACAACAGCTTTGCCAGGAAGATGTGTCAGTTGCAGTGTTTGGGCACACTTTTTCCAGCTTGTGTGCTGCTGGCCAGGCAGCCTGAGGGCTGAAGTGGAGGTGGTGACAGCTGTGTTGGTGCCAGGCTGACTGCATGATGTAGCTCTGAAGTTCACTGTTAGGGTGGAGGGCTGTGCTGTGGTGGCTTAAGTGTCTTCGCCAGCTGCATTGGCATCTCTTTCCTATCATAATGTAAAATGTCTCCTTATCACATGAAGCCTACCATACACAAGCATTTTCAGGGTACTTGGTTCTATTCCAGGAGAGCTTCATGACTACTTTAAAAAACATGGTAAAAATCATTAAATTGCATGCTCAGGACACTTTCCAAATCTTGTGTTTGTGATTCAGCCTTTGGCTGATTCCAAACGAGGGTCTTTCATATCCTATAAGTTGCAGAAGCCACATGCAGCTGTGGTTCCAGTTCTCCTGTCAGCTTATCAATATGAATTTCTCAGTGTCTTCACAGGCAGGACGCACAGTCTGTGCTCATTTGGGCATTTCTGTTTTACACCTGTTTAAGCATATTGCTCTATACATGTGCTATTTCAGATTTCAAGCTTGTAGAGCATTGCAAAATCCTTCATATCTGTAGATGAGGATTTCCACATCTTTCCTTTTCTTTTGCTTTCTTCTTTTTTCCCTCGTCATGTAATGACTGCGTGTTCACAAGTGCTTTCCTTGTAGGTCTCTTCCTCTCTCTGGATCTTCAGTGTTTCAACTACTGTGTGCAGTGTTGCCAAAAGAGAAGATGAGGGCAGCCTGGAACTGTGAAAGATCTTTTTTTCTATGAGTAAATTTTTTCCTAAAATGTATTTCCACCAGCGTTCATGTGCACAGACTGTCCTACATTGCCATCTACATTGCTGCCTTGAGCAGTGCAGGTTGTCTTTGATAGACACTTCGTCCCAGGCATCAGAGGAGCAAGACATCATTGGGTAATGCTGTGACCATGTGTTCATCTCCCAGGAGACCCACAGAGAAGCCCAGCAGTGTCTCAGGCCACGCAATGAACTGCTGGCCTCCCAGCCTTATCGACCTGCTCCAAAAACCCACATTCCCACCCATCAGGATGTGAATTTCTGTCTGTGGATGAGTTTCTTTCACTGCTGAATTCGAGCTCAACTGGAAGCTGTGGCTCTTGCTCTCTCTGTAAAAACTGTTATTAAATTCACTTTTGATAGTGTATGAAAAAGGATTGCTGCAATCAACGTTTTTTTTTTACTTCTAGATATGTCAGTGCTATTGTTAACATTGTTGGCATCACTCAAGGTGGTGGGGGGGGAATGCAGGCTTGAGGAATTGGCAGGATTTTCATTAACATCCATTACTTGTGGAGTTTTACAATGAGATGTGAAATATGCAGAACTGTCAGCTCATCTGTTTCTGAGCTCACCTTTGGATCAGTGCCTTCAACTTTTCTTTTTGATTCTTAATATTTGAGGAGTATCTTCCAGATAAGTATTAGACAAACAAGTAGGTGCTCCTTTCTACTTTTTGAACCCGTGAGTGCCCAGACTGGTAATTTCAAGAAGGAATCCAAATCTTGGCTTTTAGGAGCTTCTGGAGAAAGAGAAGGTGGTACCCAGCAGCTGCAGCTTGGCCACCATGGCAAACCTGGTTTTCAGACAGCTGCAGCTGCTGAGTGAAGTTCCTGGGTCATCTGAGCAGCCCAAGCCATCAATGTGTGTAATGCAAAGTGACAGGGCTGTGGCTGAAAATGCCCTTTTTTGCTAATTGCTCACACTGAGGAACATATGGCTTGCTGTCTCTTCTGCATTGTTCTTAGGTTGGTTTCTACTTAATGCGTTTGCCATGCTTTCCAACCTGTTATGAAATGGACATTTTAATAAACAAATGTGTTTGTTTTTTTTCTTCCTAAGACACAGAATAGTAGCATTGCAAGTGACAGGCTGAGAGAGTTGGGGCTATGCAGCTTGGAAAAGAGAATGCTCCAGGGATACCTGAGAGCAGCCTGTCAGTATCCAAAGGGGGGCTGTAAGAAATAAGGGGTCAGACTCTTTAGCAGGGACTGCTGTGGTAATATTAGGGGAAACAGTTTCAAACTAAAAGAGGGAGATTTAGATTGGATATGAGGAAGAAGTTTATTGCAGTAAAGGTGGTGAAGCGTTGGCACAGGTTGTCCAGAGAGGCAGTGGATGCCCCATCCCTGGAGACTCAAGGTCAGGCTGGATGGGCTCTGAGCAGCCTGATTTCACTGTGGGTGTCCCTGTTCTTTGCAGGGGAGTTGGGCTGGATGGCCTTTAAGGAGCCCTTCCAAATCATACGACTGTAAGTCTAAGTGTGTGGACTGGTTTTGGTGTATTGTGGCCTGTAGCCACTCGTATTTGCAACTGTCAGACTGACTGCTTTGAACATACTCTACCTTGAGCTGGTTAAGGCAGTGCTTGTCCAAGTGCAGTACTCTGCCTGGAGTTCCAGGTTGCATAGCACTGCACAGGGCTGCGTTACCAGCTGGTTGTGACTGCCTCTGCTGTGTGCCAGGTGCTGCCCCAGGTGAGGATGCAGCCATCTATTGGCGTGTTTAATCTGTTTCTGGATGTGGTGCAGTTTGTAAGCTCTAATGTACACAGTAAGTCGGAGCGCTCCCTTACTTGATTGTGCTCTTGAATCAAATTAAGAAATTTGTATTTTTGTTTTTCCCCTGATCTGAGCTGAGAGTGGTTGCGGACAAGAAGAAAGGCAGACCTGGTTCTGCTCCCACTGGGAGCAGGGTGAAATCTCAGTCAGTTTCAGAGAGGATTCTGCTCCGGTTCTCTCTCAGCAGCCTGCGCAGCACTGGCAAGCAACTCCTTTGAGTGGGAGCTGGCAGAGGAGGGCGCTTGAGGCTCGGCTGATTTTCTTGGCAGTGCAAAATGCTGCTTTATTTAGGAAACAAATGGGAGACTTCAGTCCCCTGGGCTGCCAAATCGCTGTCTTTCACCAGCCCTACACTGCATACATGACAGTTCTTTAGAAAGGAAACCCCGAAACCCTTTTGACTGTGATCACTGCAAACTAAAATAAAAATCATTCATAGCTGCTCTAGTTTTGAAGCTCACAATGAGTAGTTGGAGGGTTTTGCAGCAGCAGTCCTGAAGAAGAGGCTGAAAATTATCACATTCCTTCACCAGCAATATTTATCATAACATTTTCCTGCTTTCTTTACACCGTAATATGTGTTGCCAGCACTAATTAGTGTGGTTTCATGTAGGGCTCTGCAACAAATGTAATGTACCTTCGTGATCTGCCTGTCACAGTCACTGCTGTAACAAGGATGAGTCTCTCTAGCAACAGGGATGCTTGTAACACCACCAATCACTGCTGCTGGAGAAATTGTTTCCTGTTATTGTTTTAGCCCAAGGGACTGAAAATGGCTCCAAAAAAGTAGGGATCTGCTCTTAACTATATTCTTGTGCTGTTATGAGTCCTTGGTGAACATCGTCTCGCTGTGGTTGGTGACAAACACAAGTGTTATCCATCCTAACACACAGTTCAAATGATCAGCCTGATGCCATCTATAACTAATTGCATAACATACTTCCCGACGCAGAAGTGAACAAATAGATTTTTAAAAAGAATTAAAGAGAGTTTTATGTCATTTTTTTACATAAGACATTTATTGAGGCTGCTGAGTGTATGTGACAGATGGTGCTCTTATGTCACATCCTATCTTTCATTTTGTTTTGCAACACGCAAGTCTTCCATGCATGCATAATTGTATTACAACGTTGTAGGGTTGTTTTTTGTTGTTTTTTTTTGTGTACTCACTGAAACATAAAGAAATGATCCAGCACGAGTTCTTTGATGGGAGGTTGAGCTCACTGTGCTGCTGAGCTGCTCACCCTAACGGGTGCTGAGTGCTGCTTCACCAATGTGTTTCCTGGTTTTACATCCTAAGCTAAACTTTGGGAGGAAAGGAGAAAGCACAGCATTTCATCACTCTGCTGAATGCATTCAAGTAATTAAGCAGGTTGCGTTCACTCCATAATAAAGTTTGTGCTCTGTATCTGAAGCATGTAAAACTAACGGTTCTGTTGCAGAATGCCGTTATATCTCAACTTTCCGACTTGGGTAGTCTTCAGTTGCTCATGCATTTACATTTTATGATTTAAGCATATGATTATTAAATCAGGATGGAGGAAAATGTACTTAATTTTCTTTTTGTTTGGAGTTACCTTCCCAGTTTTCACTTTAAGTGGAGCGTCAAGTTGCATCTGACCTCATGAAAATGTTGCCAACCTAATTGTTCTATTTATATGGTATCCTGAATAACTTCTGCTAGGATTTCCCCTGCGTCTCTTTTGTCTGGGCCTGTCTGGCATTTGTTGGAACATACTGGACTTTGCTTTGCCCTTGACTTACACTGAGCAATTTAATTCATTGTAATGCTTTTTTATCTTGCAAGGAACGTAGAGATTATCTCCATTTTATAAATTGGAAAACTAGAAACGTGAGTGAGAGTTATGGAGTATGCAAAGCCAACAAGCTAAGAACATTGCTGAAATTTGTAGTGTCTTACCCCACTTCTGATTATTTTGCCTGCTAAATCTAGATCTATCATTGTTTGTATGTCTGTACTGTTCCCTTTAAATACAATTATATGAACAAGGTGAGGACATCTTCCCTCATAGTACAAAAGAGAACAGCAATACTTAAGCCAAGGCCAGTACTTCACTCAACACATTGTCTGTCTCCAGGTACTTTGTTACCTTTAACGCTATTACAGTTGCACAAACTCATTGATACCTTCCTGTACTGTCATTGCTTCTTTTACTGACTTTTGAATGCAGTTAAATATATATATAATTAACTTAAGAGCTGCTGTGGCATAGAATCATAGAATCACCAAGGTTGGAGAAGATCTGGAGGAAGAGAAACTGACCATCACAGTACTGGAAGTGTAAGGCATTCGTATTGATAATGACTCTAAGCGACGCGTCCAGCTTACCAGGCTGGCTGTTCTGCTTATGCTGTATGAAAAGCAAAAGGAAACCGAAATGCAAGTTTTTTGCCCCAGGAGCAGCATAAAGATGTTGTGAATAAGGTTACAGTTTCAGGCCAAAACTTGTCTTAAGGAAGAGAAGTGTGTGTGTATCAACTTCTTTATCATGTGTATAGCTGCAAACATGAAATTAATGTATAATAGATGGCTGCTGTCAAACAAGTGAAACAGTGTGGTGAGGCCAAATGAGAGCAGCACATGATTTATTTCATGCAGCAGCTGTCTGCCTCACTTCCACTAGCTACTTTACAGAGTTTTAGATGATCTAAGCTAAAAAAGTCCCCAAACATTTGCTTTATAGTTGAACGTGCCTTTGTTCTTATTACATTTCATAACAATATACTTCATGCAATTTTGTTGTCAGACAGGCTAATTTTGAAGTGATGCTGCAAGGATTTCTGCTTTCTCCCTCGTTGAACCTGCTATACACCAGTGCATCTGCTTTGGCTCCACCACAGCCACTCTGACATCACAACCATAAAGCGCTGTTTGTAACTATAAACTTGACTGTAGTACTGCTGATTTCTTTCTTTAGGACATGACATTTGTTAAATTAACACATAAGATGTTAATTAACATAATTCTCATTAGAACTTAAAGAATATCAGCTAATGGATTTTTTTTTTACCATATTAAGATTCATTTACTGTCTGTTCCTTGAGACTTTCAGCATATGGTGTGAAGATAGCATATCATCAGCTGACATACCAGATACGGCTGAATAAATCTTAAATAATTTTCAGGCTCTTTTAAACTATTTTGAATGCTTTTATTTTCTGTTTCCTGTTACTTGTTCTTAACAGAATATTCATACATAAAGAAAGCATTATTTTTTCCTTGATATTAATACTTCCTATTCTATTGTATGTATAGATGAATCAGTATCTATCCAGAAGAACAGCATTAATGCCTTGAGCTACAAATACGGGGCTGTCCCATTTGTGGTAGGCCTCTCAAAGGATTTTCTTACCAACCTTTTGAAGCTGTAGCTCTGTGATATATCCAGCTGCCAGACCACAAAACTTTGCTCTCTGTGTTTCTGTGTCAGTATGTGGAGTGTTCTTCACAACATCTAAATGTTTAGTTGTTGTACCGAGGGACATGGTTCAGCAGGAAATGTTGGTGATGGTTGGAGTGGATGATCTTGGAGATCTTTTCTAATCTTGGTGGTTCTATGATTCTTTTTTCTGTGGTGGTCCTAACACACACTTTCATTGTGTTGTTTTTCAGCTCTACATTGTTGGGGGATCTTTTGGACTCCGTGAGTTTGCTCAGATAAGATATGATGTCCACAAACTACATGGCAAGGTACTTCAAGTGGTTTTCTCTTCATTTCATTTTGCAAATGTGCTGACTCATAAAAGATAGTTTGCTCGGACAAGCAAAATATTAGTATTAGGAGATATTATTTTATGCTCTTAGGCAGCAAGCAGTATAGATAATAGAGGCTGAGATAATAGCAAGTCTTTTTGCCAGCTGTGGAAAGTGATTAACAAATAGTTTGGTTCCTACTGTTGTTTGTAAGTGGCAATTCTGAGTCTGGAGAAAGGAAGTGTAGCACATCAGGAAGGAGGTTATTAGAAAGATTTTGTACCTAATTTAGACTAAACAACTTTATATTTTAAAAGGTGCACAAGAGAAAGTTGCTGCCCACTGGATGAGGCTGTGCATGGCCCGGTTCAGCCTGGGCTCACATGCCTGCAGGGCTGGGGTACTTTGTGAGCCTGCCATTGCGATGCGGAGGGTCACTGTGGTCCCAGCGCTGCTGACTTGCAGAAGGTGTGAAGCTTTTTAAAGATGGTAGAGTGCTTCATATAAAAAGTGTTTATGTGAGACTCCAGACACTGTGCATAAGATGTTCACTACAGAATTTGTAACATAAGTCGGAGCGGGCTTGCGGTGGCTTTCTACTGTCAAATCTTTCAGGTCCTCACCTGTTCAAGGTGTGGAGACCCTCATGTTTCGCCTTAGACAATTGTTATGGGCCGTCTGAATTCCTTCATTTGTTCTTCATTGCTCTCTGCACTGCATACCTGGCTATGGCACATGAAGCACCATGCAGCCTGCTACTGCTCAGACTCTTACGTGACATAGCCCATAAGATGGGAGAAGAATCTTAGTGCTCTGGCTGGTTACTTTTTCCAGTCCTAGGCTTTCAGAACCAGCTGTAGCATTTAAGTTTTCCTCCAATCAGGTGGCAATCACAGGAGGGGGGAGAAGATTTCTGTTGTTCCTGTCAGTTTCTTAGTCAGATCTGTACTCAGTAGGTTACATTTGACCTCCATTAATTGAACAGTGACCGCAGCCTAGGGTAAAAAGGCAGTCATGGTTATGCTTATTCAGACGTATGATGTTCTGTGTCTCAGCATTTGTAACCAAGGGAAGCATCACTGAATTAGACAGCAGTATATGGAAGCTCTGAGGGGAAGCTGCTTGCACCTTGGAGTTCTCTGAAAAGCTAAAAGAGGACATCTGGATTCTGCTCCAGCCTGTATTACTTAAGGTTGCAGCATCTCTTTTGTTTCTTTTCACGATTTTATTTTTGAATAGATGAAATTTAAATAAAGAACAGTATAGATTAGCTGCAATCTAGCAACACCAACTTTAGGCTGGTAGTTACAGAGAGACAAATGAAAGTAATGCGTTCCATTAGTTTCTGTTTCTATGTCCATGAAAACGGAGTTAAGAACCATTCTAATTCAGCAACTACGAGAGCATAAGTGATTAGAATGCAGTCTTCTCTCTCTTTATTGGTTGAAATACTTCACATGTAACTTAGGTAAAGAACAGTAATCTGTGTAATTTAAAAATGCTATTAAAAATCCAATGATCATAATAGATCTTCACTGGTTGAGACATCTTTCTGTTAGAGTAAATGTTTTTCTTATGTAACACACAGAAGTCCTTAGCAGAAAAAGGAAGAGTGCACCTCTTGGGGAGCTGGACAGTTGTATGCAAATTGATGTAGACAATAACAGAAATGGAATCTTTTTTTGTTGCTCCTTTGGAATAAAAACCTTAAATAACACTTTTTCTATATGGAGCTCAGTAGGCTTTCTCATCATTTAAATTAATGAAGCTTCATAGCCTTGCTGTCAAACATGGCAGGTTTATTATCTCCATGTTACTGCTGAAAAAATGGAGGTTGTGGAAAGTTAAGCAACCCATCTGGATATAGGGTAGGCTTTGTAATGCCTGAGTGCCTGTCTTTTCTGGTTGTATATTAAGGATGTGCAAATTATGTTGTACCACTTATTGTCAGCATGGCTGCTGAACTTAAGTGTCTGCTAATTCTGCTGCTAGATAGACAGGACTTAGATGGCTCAGCTGATGTGTGGTGTTAGGATTGGAACAAAAACAGAGCTGCAGAAGGAGAGGAACTAGCAGCAAGAACAGATATTCTGTCCTTTTAGAATAGCATCTTTGGATATCAGGGCATTGTTCACGTCTATCTCTTTCAAAAGAAGTAAACCTCATTAGGAACACCTTGATTTGACTTGGGATACCAAGAGCAGCTGTATTCTGCAAGCATGCTGAGCAGACTGCATTTAAATAAACTTGTGCCAAGATGCTTATTGATGTAAATGCCTCTTATGCTAGACAGAATCAAGGATTTCTCCATCATCTGTTGTTGCCAAAATAGCCATTGATGCAGATTAGGCAACTGTTTCTTTTCTGGGAAGAGTTTATGCAAATTGCAGTTGGACATGCAAAACCAGATATGCTTATGGGAAAACCACCTTGAATTAGTGGAGAAGCAATGGGTGGGATTGTGTAGGCATGTTTCCAAGCACCTTTATTCTCAAATGGAAAACTAAGCTCTGTCTTTGTCGTACTTTAATGTTGCACATGTAATTGAACAGAGACACCTTTAAAACAGAAAATGTGACTTCTGTTTAATGTACAAAAAATGTTTAAAGTACATAACATTTTTTTGAATTTATATTTATTTACTTTGTGCCCACTTTTGCCATTCAAGGCATGGTTAGAGACGTGCTAATTCAGATCTTATTTTGGATATGAGTCTTGGACAGAAGTAACAGACCAGCGATCTGTACTGTTTGCTGATAGTTAATGTGAAGGGCTGAAGAGCAGCAATGCATCAACTTCCTGGGGAAGTCCACGCTGACAGCAAATCCTTAGCAAACCCTTCTGACTAATAAAACAGAGTTTTTAAGCTCCAATGCAGCTTTATTGGGGAGGTGTTACTGGGAGGCAGGTTCTCAGTGTGAGGAGACTGCACCAAACAAGTTCCTTCAGGGTACGTGCAGCACGAGCACTTACAGGTAACCTGGAATCTTGAGGTCAGGAAGCAAAACATCAATTGATTATAAAGTCTGCAAATAGTTCCTAAGATGCGTTGTGCAAGAGTGCATTGTTGTACTGACCTCTTCAGTGGTTATAAGATATAACATTATTGTAAGATCATAAGATGTAAGATCCCAGTTCACTCCTCTTTTTCTTTTGTCTTGAGCAAAGACAGCGCACCCCAGAAGTAGAATTCTAAGAGATCACCTTAGTAATGTTTTACTGAGATATAAATGACTGCAGAAGGCAGTTACTGAATGTTAGCGAGTCTCACTTTCTCTGTGAAAGGAAGGTAATTAAAGCTGCTCTACTTTACATAGGCAATAGGCAAGTTAATTAAGTCAAATAGAATTATTTAAATTCAAATGAGTATTTAAAAAAACATTTCCTCAGTTGAGATGCATTAATTCAAGTGTTTTGGGTCGGGGTAAAATAGTGCAGGCGGAAACAGGAGCAGAGAAACATCCTGTTGCCATTAAGGCCTTGTATCAGGTAGGTATGCAACTGGCAATTGCCTCAGGAAGGTCCAGGAAATCAGCCCAGCATGTACTGGTTGCTGGGAGTAGATAGTCAACAAGGGGTATCTGCCTATTAGAATGCTTTTGTGTTCCAGTCTGAAACATTCCTCTGCACTGAAAGTTGTTGAAAGCACTGATCATGACAACTGCAGCAGCTCGATATTCATACAAGGCTGCAATACCTACCCAAAAAGGGTAGTGCATCTGCAAGTGAGTGGACAAGGCTGTGTTGCTGGCTGGCATTACACAAACCAGCTCAGGTGTGTATACAGGAATGGCAGGTGGAGCCATGCCCCGAATTACTGCTACTAAAACTGCCTGTTGGCTATTGCTTCTGTTTGATGGAGCTGTGCTTGAAATCATTTACAACTCAGTATTCCCTAAGTACAGAAGTCTGACTAAAACGTGACTGACTTCACCATTGTAAAGGAGTAATCTGACCAGGTGAGGTCATTGCAATTGGACTGAATGGGAGAAGCACAAGGTTTGTTCTAACAATAACTGATAGGCATGACTCTGTGGCTGCCAGCCCCGGTCATTCCATACACTCAGTTGTCTTCTATTTTCTGCAGACTTTCTGCTTGATTTTGTTCCAGATGCGTATAGACTCATCCTCTGGACTTCTAGATGTGCCAGCAGCTCCTTCCAATGTAAAGGTCAAATTAAATTAACACTGTTAGTACTTAAAATAGTCAAAATTGGATTATTTGTACAATTAGAGTTATATAAGTGAAATCAAAACATTCAGTATCTGCTCAGCTAAATCTAAATGTATGCTTGTGATGCTGTGCATTGTCTGGGATTCACCTTGCTCATGTTTCCACTGTCTTGAATGCAGAGCCTAGTTTGGGAGCTATCCACGCAGCCCAGTGTAGATGGTTTGAGCCAGGAATGCCTCCTTAATATGCTTCTTTCCTTATTCAAATAAATGCTTGACAATGATGTTCTTGTTTGACTGCAGGAAAAAGCAGAGAGATTAAGCTCAAAACTTTATTGCTACCACATTTCAGTGAGATGCACCATCCTTAGCCCAGCAGTATATTCAATTTGACGGGTAAATAGTAGGTGAGATAAACATTTGTGTAATTTCAGGTGCGGAAGCCTCAGATCCTATTTTAAACACATATCTTACTGCCTCTAGAAATACCCATCTCTATTCAGTTGACTGTAGCAGAAGCCTAAACAGTGTTCATGCCTGCCCTTAAAGTTCTTTCCCTGGAGCCTTGTGCCTTCCCTCAGAAGGAACTCTTACTTGTTCCGCTGGTGATCTTTGAAGTATAATGGGATTATGGAGAGCTGCCTTTTCTGCTCCCATGATGTCATAGGAGGTAGCATTAAAAAGAACCTGTTGGATGCAAGTGTGAACAAAACTGAATCAAAACCTTTTTAATTAATGTTTTGTGGATTGTTCTGGATGGGGAAGGTGTCTTTTCTAAGTTTGTCAGCAAGGAATCATGGAATCATTTTAGGGTCTGTCACTGG